GCTCAGACTCTCTAACATGTTTAGGTTCTTGCAATCGTAAGAACTGCCCCAGCAAAACCTTTTGAACAAGGCTCATCGCTGCGCCTCCCCTTATTTGTCAGAGGACTTATCAAACTTGAGCCTGATGACTTTGCAATGGGTTGTGTGTGCAACCTCCTACTATCATTGCAGTTCCATTGAACTCAGAGTATCACAGGAATAGACTTATGAACTAGACCTCCGTCATGCTATTTCCTTTGCATAATGCAAAGGATTGATCATTAATTAGAGTGAATAAGATGCATCTAGAGAAGGTCTAAATGAATTTATATAACCTTCTAACTTGGCCTACAGATCTATCTGGTTCCCAAGAGTCTGGCACGAAAGCGAATTTGGAATAAAAAGTACCCTATTTGCATTGAACTTGCTAGACAAGATGACTTTATGGCTAAGGCCCAGACTGATAAAGAGAACTTGGAAGAAAAGTCATCTGCAGAAAAAATAGACTTAAGCAGTGAAGAATCCAAGAAACCTCAGGATGGAGCAAAGTCCACTATACAGAAGGATCAAGCGCTTTACCTCTTTGGAAGGACGGGTAGGGAGAAGGAGGAATGGTTTAGGAGATTCCTTCTGGCTTCCAAGTTAAAGTTGGAAGCAAAGAAGCCATTTACTTTATGTGGAAACAAACCAGGTAATGATTCTATAATATATATAAGGGCTTAGTCTGTCTGTCTGTAATGTTTTTGACCAATTGCACATGTGCTGCGGAGAGGGCAGGTGGTGACTGGTTGTGTGGGCCCAAGTTTGAGCCACTGCTGGGGAAGTTTGTGCTGGCAGCGAACACGGCCTGGCTGCCCAAGCAGTGGGGCTTTCCCACACCTCCCTGCTGGAGAGTGAAAGGGCGAGTCATGGTTGTGGCGTTCCCCTGCTGCCCATCCCCACTGCCCCCCAGAACAGCCAGCAGGAGGAAGTGAGAGGTGGGGTGGTGGCTGTTGTTGGGGCCAGGTGACAGGGAGGGAAGGGAGTCAGAAGGGGACCCTGACGACAGCTGGCATGGAGGGGGAGGCAGTGGGGAGGGAGGGAGGATGTGTGGGCGCAGGGCTGGGGGAGGCAAAGGGGGGTGGTGATGGTGGCAGCTGTTGTTGGGTCTTGGCGGCAGGGAGGGAGGGGAGGAGGGGTCACAGTGGTGGTGCCCCCCCGCCCCCCCCCAGCTGCCTGGCTTTGAGGTGGAGGTGGGTGGGGGAAGTCCCCACACTGAAGGAGGAGGTGGCAGCAGCAGTGGTGGAGGGAGTCTTTACATGGCCAACCCCGAAGGGTAAGTGGGGTGCGAGGGGGCTCCACGTAAACACTCCCTGAAATCCGTCATTCTTCATGGGCAATTAGCTAGACTTCTATAAGTAACTGTATCTATTCTTTAAACAAATTAAATAGTTTAGAATGCAGTTACACCAGTTACAAAAAAAGTGTCCTTAAAACTGTCTTGCTACTCTCGATTTGTAAAGAGCCAGCTGAAGTATTAGCTCTTGGAAAGCAAATCCAAACATAATCATGCAAAATTAGCTATTCCATAAGATTTTTATAGTATGTATGTATGTATGTATTAAAACTGATCTGCTTTAATTTTCTTTATCCTTGCCTCTTGTTGTGAAGATGTTCACATTTTTACTGGCAGGGTTCAGTCCTGTGCTCCTGAATGAGTTTTGTTTTTGTTTTGTTTTTGTAAGTAACTTCAGTGTACTTGAATGGTAGTTTGTATTTCGTCTCTCTCTCTCTCTCTCTCTCTCTCTCGTTGACACCCCCCCCAAATCCTTCTGTTTTAAAATACCAAGATTTTTCTGTGGTCTAAATTTATGGTAAGATATTTTAGTTAAATGTAGTGAATGTTCTCATATAAAATTTCTCATTCCCAACTACTGAGAAATGTGGTACATGATTGGAGGGCTTTTTAATGGATACTCTAAAGCTGGGATCCAATGTTTTGAAGTAGTTAATTAAAGCATTCTTTGATAATCATAAATTTCCTGATTTCTGAATCCGATCCTTTTCCCACCCATCTTTTCTCTATTAAAACTTCTTTTTTTAAATACATAGTTAATATGTCTGGATTGTTGCTTCTTGAACTGTAGACTCAAAGGTAGTATCGTTACGCATTTTTCCTGAGGATTTTAATTCCAATCAGAATTTTTAATTTATATGACCCTTATTCTTAAATTACAAGTTTAAACTTTAAACTTGTAGATACAGATTTTTTGTTGGTGGTCCCTTAAGTCTGTATTTCCCTTCAGCATTCCCCAGCACAGATAACTGAAAATCTAAGCTTGTTTTTGTAAGTAACTTCAGTATACTTGAATGTTAGTTTGTATTTCCTCTCTCTCTCTCTCTCTCTCTCTTCCCCC